CTGGAAGGAGAGAGTGTTCACACAACTGTGCACAACTGAGGCAAGCAGGGCAATAGCATGGCGAAAAACCGAAATTTTGAGACTGGATGGGGTCACGAGGCGCAATGAACAGGAACTTTATCCCATAGAGAGAAAACACAACGGCAGGTGCCACATGCGGAGGTCTGAAGAAGTAAATACTTCGAGGGACGAAGCAGAAACAGATATCAGGAGCATAGCATAATGCAAAAATAAATAGAAATGGCAGAAAATACGAATTCTGTGGCATGTAGACCCGTTGTTAGGGAACGACCGCGAAAGAAGCAGCTATACAACAGCCGTTAACAAGTAACGGCTAAGCAAACAATCATGTGTGCACGGAAATAATTGAATTGCAACAAGGAAGCGGTGTTTTCTGTGCGGTCTGTGAAGATATATTTTAAGCTGTTATTTTAAGTAGAACCTGCATTTCCTGTCATGATATGTTCTTCTGTGGATAACAGTGAGTCATGCCATCACATTAAGTGATGTAGGTTGGAGCGAGAATAGATCTCAAGGGCGTTAAGTGTATCAGATAGGATACATAACACAAGTTTGGCTGCAATTATATTTCGAAAGATCGATCCTGCGGTAGAATATGTTGGCAACAGACAGGAGCCGTGCAATGAATAATTCTTACTTCATTTTCAGGAGAACGGACGTTGATTTCGCGAAATTACAGAGACAAATCACAAGTAGTCATCGATAAAATTACTTTTATCGGAAATTCATCGCTTCAGGCATAACGGAATGGGATTTGATCGAAACGAACCCATGCTTAATTCAAGAAAAAGTTCATAACTTAATTCTATCATCGTCAAGATGGAGGCAGGAATTCTCTCCGAAAACTCTGTAACTATTTACGAGACTATGAGTTGTCATTTCCCAAAAGACAGTAATCTACATTCTGTTTTCGTAATTGTAACAGATGTGAAGGTGTCCATAAAGATAAATCTGCAGGAGGGGTACTGGTTCAATGCTATGTGGAGGTGAATGGTTGACTTCCTGTCATGGTCAGGTTACTTCCGGAAGAAAATCCCGCGTTACTCACTACACAGAGTGTTCTGGGAATTCCAGCGCCGGTCTCAACGCAGAGAAGACAAGAAAAGTATCTGCTCCCAACAGGCAACGAAACGTGGTCGTCCACTGTTTCACAGATTGTTCTGTCCGCCATCCACAATCTGAAATTGCAGTCAACTTAGCGAACCAAAGGCTACCAGCACTTGATCACCTCACAAACAAATCCAAGTAAGAGAAAAGGTAAAGCTATCCCTGTAACAGACTATGGAGGCCCATAGGGATTTGAGACGTCGAGGTTCCCACATTTTCTAGACAATCGGCTCACAGATGGCGGTGAGGTCGTCAGCCTTATGCGCCGGCCGCCCTTTAGCCCCAGGAAGATTCCTGGTACTCATTTCTGTTAGAGGCTGATTCGACCCCAGAGCCATATTGCGGCTGGAAGGATTAGGTCAATTGGAAAATTCAATTACCTCATCGGGAATCGATTCCGCGACCTTCAGGCTTGTAGAATTGTGCCCCAACCAACTACGCTACCGCGTGCCTCCAAAAAATCGCAGTAGCTTCATATGATACAAAATAAATTTATATTGGGATTCGGTATATTTCCACGCATCAAGATGGCTTGGTTACATTGCGGTTCGGGCCCACCTCAAAGCCTTTGTGATCCAAGTCTGACTAACCTCGAGACCGCGAGGCTGTAGACACTGCTCAGAAAACTCTACTACTGTCTCCCAGACTACACGGTTTTATATATATGGAACTCTTCTGAGAAATACTTATGAGTAGGCCACGACCATCTCCTTCCAAATCCCTCTACGTGCCAACCTGCATATTTCATTCAGAGTTACGAAGTTTATCCAGATAAGTTAAATAAGCAAGAACTACGCAATATCGTTCCAATGGTAGGAAGATGGATGACTCCGCAAACCAGTGAATCCCAAGAGGCAAAAGAGACCGTCTATTGTTTTGTTTTCACCGCTAATTTCTTCCGAACAAAGGAGCCGTCGAACCTCGGTGTAACGCGTGAACATAATGGCACATGGCCAGCGGTACATCAGACCAAACTGTGTAACAGCTTAATTCACACATCCAACGTCAGCGGGATAGCTGAGTCAGCGCGTGGCTTCGGGCTAGGCGACGGGAGTTCAGTTCCCTGAAGGGGCAGGAATTTTCTATCCGTTATCACACTCAGGGTATGCAGTCTACGAACCGTATCCAATGGGTATCTCAATACAACGCGGCAGGAACGTGAAGCTAGATGCTCACTTCCCTTTGCTATGGGGTAAAGCGACCAGAGCGTGACGCTGACTATCTGCCTCCATACAGAGATGATATAAATGCAACAATGAGATTTAACATTCTAACGGCTGTGCATGTGACGGTCTTCCGGGATGTGATGTAAATAGTTAGTTTATTGTGTGGAAACCAGCTTGGGGGGAACCAAGCGATGTTTAAAAGAAAAGTTTTAAATGAAAATGTCCTTGAAAGGGAAGTATTTAAAGGAAAAATCTCAAAAAGGGAAGACTTGAAAGGATAGTTTTCAAAGAAAAGTTTTCAGGAGAAAAATTTTCAAAATGGTAGTTAAAAAATATATATATATTTTTTTTTTCCTTGGCACTACAGCCCCAGTGGGCCTAGGCCTACCTCCATGAACTCCGTTCACTTCGGTTTTTCTAGATCTTACACGTACGGTAGGACTCCTTGGGCGGGTGATCAGCTCGTCGCAAGGCCTCTACCTGTACACAAACACAGAAAAACGCACACAAACATCCATGCCCTGAGTGGGATTCGAACCCACGATCCCGGCTTCGGAGCGAGCGAAGACAGTGTATACCTTAGACCGCTCGGCTACCGTGACCGGCATATATATATAGCCTGAAAAATTATGGAAAATTTGGGATGCGGAGGGGGCGCTTATTGAGTTGGAGGTCGCCTGTACGCCTCATACTTACCGCTATGTTAACCTAAAATGCAACAGATAACTTATTGATTACGATACGCCACATTTTCCAGCTGCGGAATACGGAAAAGCTGTTATTCCTTACGCATCAAAACCATCGACTTCGTGGTTAAATAAATGATAAAAGTAAGGCTGCTCCTGTACCCACACAGAGACGCATCAGCAGTGGACAACATGGAGACAAGTGGTTAGCCTCACGATCCGACTCTTTTATCCTGAGGGAAAACCCACGGTAGACATTTGAGATGTGGCCCCGTGGGGCCCAGACTCATCCTAAACGTGGTAGTGAGGAAGGTGCCCTATGTCCCTGACAGGAACACAATCTCGACCGCTCAGTCGGTAACACACAATACAGGGACTGAGTTGAGGACTCACTCATGGAACTCAGCCCTTCTTGAGAAACTGCCAGTTGTGCAGCTACTCAAGAACTTCCCAGCAATTTATGGAACCCGAAGGTTCATCACAAGAGCCCTCCACTGGTTCCTACCCTGAGCCAGATCAAACCAATTCACACCGTCCCATTCCATTTCTCTAAGATCCATTTTCATATTTTCCACCCACCAACGCCTTGCTCTTTCAAGTGGTCTCCTTTCTTCCGGCTTTCCCATTAATATCCTATATGAATTCCTCTTCTCCCCCATTCGTGCTACATGCCCTGCCCATCCTCCTTGACTTGAGGGACGAGGACTAAGGTAAGAAAGAAATAACAAAAAGCTGGATGTAAATCAATAATTCCTCTTCCTACATATTTAACTGGAGCAGGCAAAGCTCAGTCGGTAAAGTAACTAGGTTACGGGCTAGAAGACCGAAAAGTCGAGGCTCGATTCCCGGTAGAGGCAAGAGATTTTTCTTGTTCCACAGTGCCGAGTGTGGGGCCCACCCAGCCTCCTATCCAAGGGGTGCCGGTGGCTGTTTCCTTGGGGGTAAAGCAGTAGGGGCATCAAGCTGACCACTCCCATCCAGTGCCGCGGTTAAACAGGGTGGAGCTGCAACTTACTCCCCCATATATATATATATATATTCGTGACGCAGTGCTTAATTAATTAATCCGAGGGATAAATTTAATGTTACTTATTAAAGTTCGTTTCTGTACAGAATAAATGAATCTTGCAAGACAGTTCTCTGAAACACCACTCGTTACTGCAGCGGTCCTACTTGATATCCTTAAGGTCCTCTTTTCGTATCCTGACCACGAGATCGCCTGTCCCGCCTCAGACTTCCGCATTTTCCCTTCTGTCCTTCACGGGAAGCTGCCGAAATGAGGCCCACAAGCAGTTCTTTCCGAATGAATATTCACTAGTCAATGCATGACTCGACGCTACACGCTCTCAGCTACTGACAATGTCTTCACACAGACTATAAGGACACAGTTTGATTAACAGCTGTGGGCAAGCAATGGCAGGACTGGAAACGTCACTTCGGTTCCCTTGTTCGAGACGGCACTGTGTTCAGAATTCCCATGTCCTATTTAAAACCAGTAGAAGTTTCTGTTGAAATATTGAGCATGTTACGGAGTGTGAAGGATCTACGCATGCGCACAGAACTGTAGCACATGCAGCACTCACTACCCTCACTACGTCTATGGCGTCTATGGGCTGAGAGTCCAGTTTAAACATTGGTAGAGAACACCAAGTACCTGTTGAATTTCTTTTTTTCTGCCAGATTGTCTTAAATACCTATAATTCCCACCGCGACACAGAAATGAAAAATCTTTCTCAGAAACTTTACTTTACCTATAATAAATATAATTAGATATAATTTCATTGGACACACAAAGATACTATAAGGTAACCCCGCCTACATATCGAGACTATCCTCCACGGGTACGGTACCCTTACAAACTCCGCCCCGTGGATTTGAAACCCCCCCACTACCCCACCCGCTCATCATCATTATCCTGTGGTCCCCTCCACCACACCCCCAGGGCGCGTGGCCCACCACCGCCACCCTCCTCCAGTTCTACTGCGATCTTTTGAGTTTAAAGTTGAGTGCTCCAGGACGCCACTAGCCAGTCGCTCGTCCAGACTTACCGGTCGCCGGTCGCGCTGTGCTAGTACCGCCAGCTCACCTGTTTCAGTTACGCAACATCCATACAGTGCTTGTGTTCATAATTGTAGTGTTTCAACATCTTCCAAGCTGAAATCACGTGGAACACGAAGCAGGAGATCCTGAAAACCTGTGTACCCCGTCTAACCGATACACACTGCGGCATCATAAAGGCATCCGAAGTTTTAACATCAAGAATCCTTTAAGGTAAGTTAAGTGCCAGCGTTGTTTCTGTGTGACAGCAAATATATTTAGGTTCAACCGACAGAACTTTGAAATATTTAAAGTAACATTATATAAGTTTACTACAATCTGATATGTAAGGCCGTGTAGTCTGGTAGAAATCTACAAGTGTTTTCTGAGGAGTAAAAGTGCTGTATATGTCTTTGTGTTTCCTTGTCTTGTGTGTCCACAAGTAGCCCCCCCCCACATCACGAACATATTAGCGGGAATTTATTAATTGTAATAAGAGATTTTAGTTAAAGGTAAGGCGGATAGGCCTAATTGTGTTTTAGGGAAGGCGAGAATGGGAGAGATAATGAAATAAAATGAACAGTATGTACGAGAAGAAAATAAGAGGAATAGGAAGAGGAGTCATGCAACGTTAAAACAATAAAGAATCCGCTGCTACACGCCAGGCTCATATTGTGCTGCGCTCCGATCGTAACAAGTTGATAAAAATTATGATAATAGTAATTCAATTACTTTCAATTCTGTATTTATTTACGTCCCAATTCAACAGCCAAAAGACCAATTAGAGAGAAGGCACGAGCAGACAGACAGAAAAAAAAAGCAGACACAAAATGAGAAAACATAAAAATCCAACAAGTGAAATCACGCCAGTCATTATATGCGGTAAGAAAAAAATATATACATGT